TGGTCGGGTCTGAGCGCCTGTGGGACTGGCAGGTGAGAGAGTTTGTCCTGACTGTGGGCCAGGCAGGAAAACTCCAGCTACACATATGCACACACAGAGAGACACATGTGCACACACAGATACACAGAGATACATACACAGTCATGCAGACAACGCACAGAGACACATATACACACAGGCAAACTCACACAGACACAGGTACACACACACAGGGACACAAAAATGATTAGTATTGTGAAGAAAAAAGTGACACAGAAATATGGTCAGGGAGAGATGAACACTGGGATGGCTAACACTGCTGCCAACATTACAGCCTCTAGAACCAGTATGATGGCAAGGCTCTGAGCATGCTATGAGGAATTGCCTAAATTAGGTTAATTATGGAGAAATGAGTAGCACCATCCCAAGGTTCTTAGTCCTAGGCTTTAATTTAAAAAACAAAAATGCATTCAACTCTGCGCTTTACTGCAGATGTATTGTGACCAGCCACCTCAGTCTCTGGCACCAGGCTCTCCTACCCTTGAGCTGTGAGCCAAAATTAACTCTTCCTTCCTTAAGTTGCTTTGGTGATGGTAACCAGGGCAGCCAACGTGAAATGAGTGGTGGACAAACTCACCAGGAGAAGCTGCGTCACAGCTAACATGGACAGTCACCATGCATGTTCTTCCTCTTTAAACCGATTCTTGAGCTGGAAGCTTTGGCAGTGTGAGATCTCCCCTTCCAGGAAGCAGGGGCTCTCCTGCTGCAATGCAGACAGGAAGTTTCTCACTTGCAGCTCACAACGTGGCTGCGACTTTAGACAACATCTTTGCTACATCTTTAAACTTGCCTGAACTCTTTCCCGCATCAGACTGCATTTTCTGTATCTTTCTGCCCCGCTGCTGCCTTGGATAGACCAGGGAGTAGTCACCATACACCAGGTCTGAATGCTCTGCTGTCTTGAAATCCCCTGGGCCAAACACCTTTGTAAATTACTTTTAAAATTCAGGCTTGAATTTAGATTTAATTTAAATTTGAATGTGATTCTCAGGACATGGGCAGAATATAGCCAGATCTGTATCCAGAATGAAGCCTGCATGCTACTAGTCTGGTTCTTTACAGTGACCATGAAGTATAGAAGCTTCATGAGCCAGGCCTCTGCTGTCCACATTTCACTCATCATTCCTGTCTTCCGTTAATTTCTGCTTATGGGATTCAAGAGCTTTTCTATCCCAAAGTTCCAAACTTGTCTACATTCCTCCTGCAGACCAACTCTGAAGACCTAAGAATCATCCTCACATTTATTCCAGTAATGGCCCACCACCCACAGTTCAGTACAAATCTTCTGATTAGATTTTTGTGTATTTTTGCCTTTGTGTTTGTTTGTTTGTTTGTTTGTTTGTTTCTTTTAGCTGCTGCTGGGACAAAATGCCTGTCAAGGCAATTCCAGGAAATAAGAGTTTACTATGGTTCCCAAGTTGAGGGCACAGCCCATCAGGGATGGCCTGGCAGTGGGAGCTTGAGGCAGATGCTCGCACTGAGTCAGTGGTCAGCACACAGAGGTGACTGCTGGTGCTCAGCTCACTTTCTCCTTTTTATGCAGTCCAAACCCAGGGCCATGGGATGGTACATTTAACCCGATTTAGATAATGTCTCACAGGCATGCCCAGAGGTTTGTTTCCATGGTGATTTTATATCCCTTTCCAGCTGACAATCAAGATGAACCATTGCAGATGTTCATAATAAGCACGTCAGCAAAGTCATGGAGGGTGAGATGGACAGCAAGGGCTTGTAAACGGGAAACCTGTGACAGGAGGAGACCAAGGGAGGTGTCCACCTCAGCCTACTGAGAATCCTGAGTTTTGATAGAACCCTGGGAAGGTTCTTCAAGTCCTGAAGCCAGGATGAGGACGCGGGTAGAGAAAGAGAGGGAACAGAACGGCACACAGACATGACTCACTAGGCTCCTGCTGTGGCATCCTGCAGACGAAATTTCTAAATGGTCTTATTAAATAAAAAACATGGAGCCAAATATAGGGGTGAAAGCCTTAGAGAAAGGTCAGAGAAATAGGGAAAGCCACAGATAACCTTCCCTAACCAACTCAGCAGCTCCCAAATGCGAGTTACTTCCTGTCTACCCACGTCTTTATTGCCTTGCTGTTCTGCCCTCTCATTGGCACTCTTAGTCCAGCTACCTCACTTCCTCTTCCTACACAGCTCTGTCACTTTCTGTCTGTCTGTACAGACCTCCAGGTCTCTATGGTTGTTACTGGGATTAAAGGCATGTGTCACCACACTTGACTCTCTTCCCTAGAGTGACCTTGAACACACAGAGATCCTGCCTGCTAAGTGATAGGATTAAGGGCGTGTGCTACTGCTGCCTGACTTCTGTGTTGACTTAAAATGGCTTGCTATTTCCTCTGATCTCCAAGCAAACTTTATTTATTAAAGTACAAATAAAATATCACCACATTTCCCCTTTTTTTGTCTGATAAAAATTCAAAAAAATTTACAAAAGTTATAACTAATATAAGAAAAACTATTATCTGATACATGGAATACTCACACCAAATGTGAGGTCAAGCTGTGGGCCTTGTGTACATCCTACTTCACAAATGAGTCTGTCAGACATGCTAAGCCTGTAGGCTGAAGATGATGCCCCAATGCACAGAGAAACCTCAAGTGACTGTCCAGGAAGCTGGCTGTCTCTGTCATAACTCATTTTTTGGAAGTTGCTCATTTGCACTTCCTGTTTTACTAGGTAATATTATTTCCTTTTGGGGTCTTTGATGTAGTTGATGACTAGATAGTTGTAATTATGGTTTTCCTTGGTTATGATAAAAGATAAATTAGATATGAAACTTTAGACTCACAAATATATATATATATAGGATATAGGATAGACAGATTATTTTCTTTAATTTTGCTAAATACAAATAGGATATTTTCTTTAATTTTGCCAAATACAAATAGACAAGATATTGTAACTGTAATTTTGCTTGATAACTGTTTTGTTGTATGTAATTTTACTATGTTAAAGTTAAAATCTTCCTTTTAAATAGAAAGAAAAGGGGAAATGATGGGTGATACCACTCTGTAGGCTGTGAATGTGTTGCTCTGATGGTTGATAAATAAAATGCTGATTGGCCAGTAGACAGGCAGGAAGTATAGGTGGGATAAGCAGACAAGGAGAACTCTGGGAAGAGGAAAGCTGAGTCAGGAGTCACCAGCCAGACACAGAGGAAGCAAGATGTGAAGACAGAGCTCAAAAAAGGTACCAAGCCACATGACTAAACATAGACAAGAATTATAGATTAATTTAAGCATAAGAGCTAGTCAGTAGTAAGCCTGACCTAATGGCTGAGCAGTTATAAATATTATTAAGCCTCTGTGTGATTATTTTATAAGCAGCTGAGGTACCATGGGGCCAGGCAGGACACAGAAAAACTTTCAGCTTCAGCATCCTATACCAGACCATACAATCCTGAAACCGTCGCCTCTGGTAGTGAGAAAATGAAGGTTCAGTGATGTCAGCTGTTCTCAGGGTCACCCAGAAAGTCACCCAAGCGAAGGGTCCACTCAGGGAACCATAGGGGGAGCTGAGGCTGGAATATGGCCAGGAAGAGGAAGAGGCAAAGCTCATGAGTAGCACTGCGTCCTGAGAGGTGATGGTGGCTGGGGTGGGGTGGTCTTTAGCAGAGGGAGAGGTGCTGACAGACAGCTCAGAGACGCAGTCATTCTCCATGCAGAGGCTGCAGCTACCCCTTCTTCTGCACAGTTGTTTTTCAAAGTCGCCTGCAGTCCCTTGTGCCTGGTTTGGAAATACAAAATGAAATATTCCAAAAATGAATATTTCCCACATTAAAAATTCTGCCGTGTTCTGGTCATGAGATAAAGGCCCTTGTCATCCTGCTCCATAACTCAGCACAGGAGTTGCCACTCACCCAGGGTGCACAAACCAAGCATGCTGTTGGTGGCTCATGATGGCCATGATGGGAAGCCATTCTGGGTGAAAGGAGAAGAAGGTTTCTGACCAGATAAGGGTTAAAGACCACAGGTTAAGACCACAAAGGCCCAGATAAAGTAGAATCCTCCACGACATAATTGTGAAGAAAGACAGAGCAGCCCGTGCTGTTCCACAAGCACACTTAAAACTGCAAACGTTACATGCACAGTGTGTGGGGAGCATTTACTTTCAACAAAGGAGGCAGGAGACGTGGGTGGAAGACTGGAGCAGAAGAAGGCCCTGAATGAGAACACCGTTGGCTTTACTCTCAGTTGTTGCTAATCCCATATGGTGCCTAACGTGTGGAGCTTGCCATTAGTCTGTATGCTTCAGATAACCAGGACCTGGCTTTACCTGAGGTGTCAGCCATTCTCTATGGGTCACAGACCATGTCCTAGGTGGCTTTCTGTTGCTGTGATAAACTACCCTGACTAAAAGCAACTTGTGGAAGAAAGAGTTTATTTCGCTTACAATCCCAAATTACAGTCCATCACTTCAGGGTTGTCAAGGTAGGGACTCAAGCAGTTAGTCGTGCCGTACCCATGGCCACAAGTACAGAGAGAATAGATGCAGCCTTGCTTTCTGGGTGCTTAGTACTCAAGTTAGACCTCTCTGCTCTTCTCTTATACTGCCCAGGGCCCCAAACTAGGAAGTAGTACCGCCATCTACAGTGTGCTGGGTCAAGGTTCCAGTGTCCCATAAGCATGCCAACAGGTTAACTCAATTTTGACATTCTTCCACTGAAGTTCCTTTGAGGTGATTCTAGGTGATGACAAGTTGACATTTATATATTTGTACACGTATTTTCCTTTGAATATGTATATATATGTATATAAAAAGTATTGAATATCTATAGTCAAAGAAAAATAAGCTATCAATTTGAGAATGGGAGATGCTGGAGAGAGGAAAGGAAAAGGGGAAGTGATACAATTATGTTTTAATTTTAAATGTATTAAAAATATACATATATATATCTTTATAACCAGTATAGACTGTACCCCCCTGAGACACGAGGGATGGCTATGTCTGAATTGCCTGAGATATATGTCTGCAGCTATAGGGATATGATAGACAGTGGGGACAGGTACTGAGTGAGGGCACTGAGCACTTGGGGATGGCTGGGTTGTTGGCCTTAGATTCTTCCCTGTGGCCTGGAAATGACCCTGGCCACCTGTCTTCACTGGTACCAGGGCTATAACTAGGCTGGGAGAACTCCCAGGCGAGGATGAGCAGAGATGGGGCCCTTGAAAGGGACCAGGAATGTCCAAAAGGTTGGCAGGTACCCAGTTCTGGCTTCTGGGGTCTTTGGGTTAGAGAAAAGTTCGCTGGTTGGTGAGGAACATGAGCATCTCCAGATGCTCTGGCCCTGGCCATGTCTCATGGTGTGGGAAAACCATATCATCCTGTGGCTGTGACATGGTCCAGGACAAAAATAAATGGCTGTGGTGCCTATGGGTGTGCCTAGAACTTGGTCTGATTCAGGTGGGAGGTCTTTGGACCTATAGTTCTTGCTGCTGGCCCATTATAAGGGCAGCCAAAGCTATGACACCACATACAGACCCCAGCAGCTGCCCAGGGGGACCTGTGGGAGCCTCATCTGTGCCACCAACATTCAGGCAGAACCAAGCTTGCCTGCCAGGGTGTGTCTCCGTGTGCTCACAGAGTCACCTCTCATTTCGCTGGAAATCCATCACCCTGAACTGCTCCAACGCAGCCTGTCACATCACATCCCTGACAGGTGTGGGCTGAGGACAGCACTAAATCTTATATAAGAGCTGCAACTGGTCAGCACGGGGCTATTTTCAGCAACATCTGATGGGAACAGACTTTGAACACAGAGGCACTTTGACAGTCTGTGATGGATTTGAGGATCTGGATTTAAAAGTACATGTCTCCTTGCATTTGAGTGTATGCAAAGCCCTTGGTGAGAGGACCATCTTTTTTACTTTCCTTCCCCTGCCTCAGAGAGGCATCCCTCACCTCTAGCACTCTGGGAGCCCCTGGATCCTCATAAACTTCCTAATCTCTGGAACAGACTCAAGGTGGAGAGGGGCTCATGGTGTGTATACCTGAAGCCAGAGGTTTGCAAGGATTGTTGTAGTCCATGGAGGTCACCCTGCTTCCTACACAGGACAAGGACCAAGTATTTCATGTGTAGTACACAGGGGATGTCTCCACTTCAAACTCTGGCTTGTGGCTGATGAGAATCCACCTTCTTCCAGGACATCCAGAGAGCTCAGGGTCATTGTTCACCCTTATATGGAGGCTCCCTCTTTAAGTGGCCTCATTGGCCTTGAGCAGAAGCTCTGCTCTGCCAACCCACACTGGAGCTCCTTCTCACACCACACACCAGACTCCAGACTCAAAAGACTGTAGATCTGCTTAGCTGCTGAGACCAATAGAGAACACTCAGTCCCTCTCTCCACAGCCATTTACCATGGCAGTGACAGGCACACCTACACATCCCTTCAGGACATCAGTCAGGAATCCAGGGTCACCACTCATTGCCTTCTTCTTCCTATACCCCAAGCCCAGTGCATCACCAAACACCGACTCACGGCTGCTGTGACATCCCATTACCTAGGTCTCCATCTTGACAGCAGACCACAGATACTCTCTTTTCTTGGCTTTGCTATATGGAGGCCCGTTTGTGTAGGCAATAAATGCAAGTGGCATCTGGGGCCACAAGTGAACCAGAAACAGTACTCTCCCCAAGTAACCTGCTTCTTGCTTCTCCCGCCACATCCTGGGTGACCACCACCCAAATGGTCTGGCCTGGCTTGAAGTATCTTTCTGAGTAGGACACACAAGTGTTGGTAGGCAAGAATGACCAGGAACTTCTGATTCTCCCGTCTCTATGTACTCAATGCTTAGACAGGTTTAGGTCACCATGCCTGATGCATGTAGTGCTGGGGAGGAAAGCCAAGACCTCAAGCATATTGGGCAAGCTCTCTACCATGCAAGCTATCTGCTTGGCCTGAGCCAAGGATCTTTTCATATCTGACCCTGTCCATTCTGGGTTCCAATCCTCTGCTGCCCCTCCCCCCATGTACTCAGTGAGACAGGCAGTCCTGCATGCCCCATACCCCCATACTTTGATGCCCCTATCTTGGCATTAGTTATCTGTTATTGCACACAACTTAATACATGCTTAGCAGCTTAAGTGACTTGAGTTTGCTAGTTCCAGATTCTCCTGACCAGGAGGAGCCCAGCTATTACCAAGCTCAACGCTCAGCTCAAGATTTCAAAATGCTGCAATCAATATGTCAGACCCAGCCAAGCTCTCATCTAGATGCCTGGATGATGGAGGCTCTGCTTGCGATCCCCTCCGGACATTGGCAGAATGTGTGTCCTGTGACCTGGTCAAGCATGTAGCTTCTAACTGTAATTTGGGAGCCACCTGCAGTCCCAGAAGCCATCTGTCCTCATTGCCTACATAAACAGGGTTCACCACAAGTGCTACAGTTGGCCAAGTAAAGGGAAGATCTGTGGTCTGCTGTCAAGATGGAGACCTATATAACAGAATATCACATCAAGAAACAGCTATCCTTCACCTTGCCACCCTCTGTGTGTTGGGAGCATTACATATACAAAGAGGGGAAATGCTGAAGGCTGTGAGTATTGGGAAGTGGATTACAAAAGGCACTCTGGGTTTCCCTTCATCCTATAGATTCCATATACCTTGGCTCATGTGCCATCCACCTTTGATAAATGTACAGGCCTCCGGGGTTAGGCCAGGCCAGAGTTGGGCACCTGTACCACATACTTAAACCCATGGGAGCCAATCTCTGTTTGATCCACACAAAATAAAGCAGCACTCACTGCATTATCTACTTCATGGAGCTATCAGACCCAGCATGAAGACTCTCAAATATTTCACAAATACCTCCCAGGGGCTCACTGTCTGGGAGATTCTATTTAGTTCAAGTCAGAGATAACTCGAGTTTTTACTTGCCATTAGCCCTTGTCTAGATCCTGTTGAAAATGGAGTTTGATGAGAATGAATGAGATTTCCAGAATGGTTCTGCTAGTGCTGAAGCCTTCTGAGGCTTAAACTTAATTTCACGATATTTTGTTTTCTAATCTCTGTCTGTAGTAACAAATCTTGGAATTTTGCACCCTGGAAATTGCTTGTGCTACTCAGCAGTCGGCATTTCTGAGAGATGCCATTTGTGCTGGGCCGTCAATCCTGGACATAGAACCTAACCCATGAGACCTCTGGCTCCTCACCACAACAGACAAGTGGATGGGGAACTCAGAAGAAACTATGTTTGCTCCTGTGGCCACAGGGGGCTGTCAGGCCTTGGGTATCATGAATCTTACTGTGAGATTGATCCTAACATCTGAAGCCTGTGTCAGGGCTTTTGAGTTATGATCCTTTTGTGTGACCATGTACACACCTCCAAATCACATCACTTCCCATCTCCATCTGTGAAGTAGAGTGAAACAATTATTAATTCAAAGATGTGTCTACACTATGAGTGAATTTTAATTATATTTTTTTCTCAGTCTTCAGAAGCTTAAATGTTTCGAGGCCAATCCTTTACAAAATCTCTTAACTTGTTCCTTACAAAGGCCTCACCTACTCTGCTAGCAGCTGAAGATCTGGGTCCACAATTACTCATATTTGAGCACATTCTGAGTGTATTACATTTTATTTAAAGATTTGTTTGTATCAATTCTTCAAGAACTTCATACTACATATTTTGGCTATATTCATTCCCTCTCCTCCAACTGCTCCCCAGATCCACTCCACACTTCCCTAAGAACCCACCTTCATGTTCTCTCTCTCTCTTTTAAACAAATTGAATCCAATGTGTGTTGCCCAAACACTCTTGGCTGTGGGGCCTAGACATTGCAAACTATTGGCATTGTTCTTGATTACCCTTCAGAACCTGACAGGAAGAGCTGATTGCTGAACATGCCATATGCTTGAGTCATAGGACATGGAGAAACCAAACAGGTACTGACCTAGAAGTATCATCACTCCTGGCTAGCTTTCAAAGCACTAGAGGGTGCTTTGTGTGCCACCAGTGAGAGAAAAGTAATCATCAGTTTACCCAGCTGTGAACCCTGCAAACTACAGTAATGACTGTCCTGGCAAGATGTGCCCACTGATGCAATAGTGGTACAATTGTTACGGGAGGAACCAACCACTTTCTGCTTAGGTTTATGTATTTAACTATTTCAAATTCTGTGGCTATGTTGTAACTAGACACAGAAGTACATATATAGGACACAGATTCCTTTCCAAACACAGACATAACCCTTGCAAACATCAATGCATTTTATTTTTGTTCAGGTCAGTATGTTTCATTTCTCAAAGTTTGTTATTTTAAATTAACTTTAAATTCCAGGTGTTGGGAATCCTATAGTGATGTTCTTATTTCTGAGTGCCCCTTTGATTTGACTGATACAAAGTCTACTCAAAACCCCCATTATGAATTAGAGAGTCCATAATTGGTTTTCATTCCAGATGAAAGGAGGTTTGGCAAATGACCCCAATGTTGTCAGGAACAATGAGTGTGCTACCATCAGAGACAGTATCTATATATACTGTTGGCCCATACTGCTTCCTCTGGTTTGAGTCCTCTACAGTCTGGCCCGAGTTACTGCTGGTCATTGCTGATGCTGAAAGGATTCTGCTGTATTTCCCACCATGGTCCATCTCTAAGTACTGCTCTGCTCATTTTGAAGTAGCATCCCTGCCTGGTCACTATGATGCTGGGGTGTCCTCCTCCTGTGTGACACTTTTGCCATTATTAAACCTATATCCTTGCATTTCCAATGCATTTTCTTGACCTAAACCCCACTTTCCTCATTTAACACTGGTTTGCCTATAGCAACTTTCTGCTATTGTTGACAGACTTGTGTGTTTTTCTAGCTTTTTGCCTTTCTTCTACACTTTCACATTTGAAGAAATCACACTTGAACAAGTGCATATATTCCTATGGTATATTACTTCCTGATATATTGGATTTTCTGTTTTGTATTTATTGTTAACATTTTGTTGATGATTAAATTATTCTCTGGATTCTTTTTATATCCATTACATGTATTTTATCAATCTACATTTCCTTTCATCTTCCTGTTCTTTTAACCATTCCTTAAATTTTGTTTTTAACACCTCAGAGAAAATTCTAGGACCTTGTTGATCATAATTGTATGTGATCTCTTTCCACTGTGTGTCTTGTCATCACACACACAAACACACACACACACACACACACACACACACGTTTGCGCTTGGGTATACAAGAAGACATCAGATATCTTCCTCTTTCACTCCTTGCCTTATCCCCTTCAGACAGGGTCTCTCATTTAACACTGAAACCCATGATTTCAGTTAGGCAGGTTGTCCAGAGAGCTTCCCAGACCCATCTCTCCCTGCTGCCAATGCTGAAGTGACAGGTACATGCAGCCAAGGGTAATAAGGATTCTAACTCAGGTCCTTTGGCTAACACAGCAACTGTTCTTACTCACTAAGTAACCCTCCCAGCCCTATAGTCATGATTTTTAAAATGGTAAATTTAGTAGTAAGGAAGGTCACAGGGCATCCAGGTCCTTCCTGAGTTTCCAGTCACAGGAAAATGTCAACCACACAGGTGCCTGTTTGCTGCTCATTGTAGTCACTTTTAGTAAAGAGTTCTGGGCAAGAGCATTCCAGGGGTCCACATTCATCTGGAGGGTGAATAGCTCCCAGAAGGCAACAGAGTTCTGTGGGAAAGTGAAGAGAGGCACACTGAGGAACATTTCAAACAGTAAGCACAAATCTCAGGCAGGAAGGACCCCAGCTCATTGGGGAGATGCATGGCTAGCCCAGGGTCACCCTCACCTGGAGGACAATATAGAAGAGTTCTAGCTGAGTCAGAGTCCCAATGGGATTTCACTGAGGAGTGATAGGAACTCTTTAGGGATGCTGAGACCAGAATAGCATGATCAAGACTGTCCAACTGCATTTTTAAAAGGTCATCTGGCTGTTTTGTAGAAATTATGTTGGAGAGACCAAGTATCGTGTCAGTAACCCAGGGAATTTGTCAGCCTAGCTATAAAGTCATAATAGCTAGAAAAAGGCATCAGCATGATTATGGGGAGGAATAGTGACAGGAGAGAGGCTAGTAAGAAAACAGGCCCAGGACTCCAGGACATGGTCATCAATCATGTGGCTTAAGGAGGGGTCTCTATTTTGGGGAAGAAGAGCACAGGTTTGAAGGAAGCTTCCAGACAGTGCTGGACAGATACCAGAGGTGCTACCAGGATATCCCCAAGTTGTGTTTTCTAGTTGTCGCTGAAAATGCTAATTTTGAATTTAAAGGCAAGATCCAAGCTATACAGACCTCTAGATGCTGGCTTACATGGGTTTAATTTGGCAACGGGAAAGGATGAAATGTCACAGAGAGAGAATGTAGAAGTGGATCCAGGGAGGATCATGCCTTGCAGTATATGAAGAGGACTTGTGCTCTTCAGTCTTAGACCAGCTGCATCTGCTCATCACCAGCCTTTTCTCTAAACACCTTTCTCCTGAAAATGATGGTGGTGGCAATGACACTGATGATGTTGTGGTGATGATGATGGTGATGATGTGGTGATGACAATGATGATGTTAGTAACTGAGGATAGTGATGGAAATGATGATACTGGTGGGAATAATTGTGATGATGACAATGATAATGATATTGGTGGTAATGGTGGTTATGGGAATGATGATGTTGATAGTGGTGGTGATGGAGATGATGATGGTGATGAAGTTGGTAACAGTGATGATGGTGATGGGAATGATGATACTGCTGGGGATGATGATGGTGGTGCTAACAATGATAATGATATTGGTAGTGATTATTGTGGTAGGGGTGATGATGGTGATTATGATGTTGATGGTAAAGGTGATAGAGATGATGATGGTACCAAAGGCAATGATGATGGTGATAGTAATGATTGCAATGAAGGTGATGATGGTAATTATGAGTTCTTTGGGGGATATGAGACTAGGATTCACTTTTAGTAGTTATCCCTCTGTTTCTCAGTGATCTTTTCCTGTCATGTTCTAACATCTGATCTGTCTCTCTAAATGGAAATATTTGAAGCTGTCCACTTATCTCCCTCCATGATGCCTGACTACATAAATTCCAAATGCCTTTGTCTACAAGATCTTTTGTGATAGGCTCCTAAAAGCCACCCCATTGCCAGCCTATGCCTTCAGATGCTGCTGGTGGGTTGTCATCTGTGAATTAAACTGGCCATGCCTATTTTGGTTTTCACACCTCTATTGCCAATCATTGTCCAAGGGAGTATCCAAAGTGCCCATTACGTGTGTTCCATATAGCTCCGTGCCCACCTTCATCTATTCTTAGCTTCCTATTGTGCAACCTCAACCATGACCATAACCAGAACGTCACCATGTGGCCCACACATCCAGTTCTTTTTCCATTGAGGCTTTGCCTAGACTGAAATCCCCTACCTTCCCCTTTGGAGATGGTGCAGCATGTTTGCCACATGTTTAAACATCATCAGCATCACCACTGGGAATGCAGAAAGAAAACATTTCTCATGCCATAGTACTAGAGCCTAGAGCCTTATGACACCACCTTACCAAGTAGGACAGTAAGGATATACCAGTTCCTTGAGGCCCTATAACCAAGCCCCATGTCTATTCTGTGCCTACCTTAGAGATCACATCTTCAAAATGGTTCCATCCTAGAAGGATAAAGGAGCCATACCTGGACTGGGTGCATAGAGAAGGCATTCTTTATCTCTACCCACCCAACATCTGTGGTGGACTCATGATGAAAGTACATTGGGATTTTGTGCCCATCTATAAGATATATTTATTTATTTGTTTATCTATCTATCTATCTATCTATCTACCTACCTACCTATCTGGGATGCATGCCTATACCATCCATCTCCCTAGCCCCACTCTTCTTTCAAACCTGGAGTAACTATGATGCTCACCCACCCAGCAGACTCTGGGGACACACAAACTTCTCATACCTCTCTTCCTTGCTCAGTTTTGCTCACAGAGGATTTTAAAACAAGACTGTGCACATAGTTTGGTGATTTTTTTCACATCTGTCTCTTCTCCCAGGATTCAAAATCCCAAAGGGCAGATATGTGTTGTCCTTACAAATCCTGTGCTGGAGCATCTTCCAGTTTTTAAGTTTCAGCTCGCCAGGGTGCAGATGCTGAGCCCAATATGAAGCAATGGAAGTTCTTCCTCTTTGTGGTCCTGACTTCTTCTCCACCAAGGAGCTCCTCTCTGGGTGGCCATGCCAGGACTGACGGCTTCGTTGTGTTATCTCCTCACACAGAGCCCTGGGATATGCACAGGGAACCTGTACTGACCAATCACACAGCATTCTCCTCCTAGAGACACAGTTCAGAATCAACAGTTCAGTAAGCGTCTCTGGAACATTTCACGTGTCCACGTGGGACAAGGGGAGACACTACACTCCTTTCTGCCCAACCATGAGCTAAGTGGTGCAAGTAGTGGAAGCCCCAGAAACTTCTTGTTGGAGTTTGGTTCTACTCCCAAAAGAAGCAAAGATGGCAGTGTCGAGACAGAGCCCAAGCAGCCCGGCTCATGTCTGAGTCCACCTGGAGGTTCTCCCAATGTCCATCCCTTGTCCAAGGTAACTAGGGTCAGTGATTCACTTACAGTCAGAGGCAGGAAGAATAACTGCCTCTCCTCCTACTGAGGGTAAAGCCAGCCCTCCAATTCTCAAGCATTGAGCCAATGCCTCTAGTTTTTCTCAGTGATGAACAACAAGTCATAAGCACCTACTGTTTGCCCAGTGCCAAGCTGTTTCATATTTCTAATCACGTCATTTCTTCTGCCTTTCATAGTATGGCTTTCCATTGGGGGTGGGGTGGGTCTGACCTGTAGCTGTATCCTTTGGGCAGCATCAAACCTTTACAAGCAGAACTGATATTTCTCACATGTTCATGCACTAGGTACTGTGTGTGGTGGAAACACCAGGAAAGAAGATTGCTGAGTGCCTCGGATTACATTCAGACCCCCTCTACATTCAGAGCCATCCTTTGCTGGAGTGGAAAAAATAAATGACATGGATGTTTACAGGGTGTTCCGCATGTACAGCATAAAATCTAACTGTGCTTAATACAAAGCTATAGTTTCTAGTGGCCTCAACCCTCTTTAGTTCAAATTGAACCGATGAAGTATCATGTGTTCTTGTCCTGGAGACAGGAGAAGGCACCAGTCCTTATCAGACAAGTACTGGGAATTCAAGGGCCACCCAGAAGGGACAGTAGTATCCATCTACCCATCCAAGAAAAGAGTCTGAGAGTTGGGCCAACACCTCAGCTTGAGTGGAAGAATGGAGTCCAAATGCAAAGCTTTCAAGCATGTAAGCTACATTCAAGAATCGCTAACTGGTTAAAAAAAAAAAAAAAAAAAAAAAAGGAGTACCGACTGGTAGAAGCAGGTACCTGTTTATTAAAGCAAGTTCTTTGCTTCCAACAGCAGTGGGGACACTCCCACACAGTCTCCTGATCCCTTAGGGCCATCTGACTGGCCTTCCTACAGACTGAGGCTAACAATCCTTGCCCCCTAAATCCAGTGGCTCTAGAATATGTCCATGCCTTACAAACTTAATCCATGCAGGTGAATAACAAAAGTGTTTGTAGAGATGAATCAGAAAACAACCCGTCATCAATATGGGGTGACTCTTTAGACAATTTGAAGAACTGCTAGAGGAAAAGTCCTAGGCTTCCCCACCCAGTTCTCTGGCAAGTATTTATCTGTGCAAACACAAACTCCATGGAAAACTGTATTATGTAGCAATGGGCCTTATCCAGACAGCTCTCTGCTCCTAAGTGAAGAGAAGGCATCATTCTGGCTGAGGAGCCTATAGCCCAGTGACTAAGTGCTTCCCAGTTGGAACACATAAATAAATGACTCCAGATGGAAGCTCTCACTCAGTTTAGAATCCTGTAGGCCTTAGGATCCTGCCATCTAATAAAAAGCCTCATAAAATAATGAAACCCTAGAAATTAGAATCATGGATGACCTCAGCCAGTCCACAGTCAGATAGCATCCTGCTGACTCGGTGAGTTCTTATTTCTGGAACACTAGACAACACTGAATTTGTTAGTTGTCCCTTGACTGTTAGTGTCAACAAACTAATTCCTTGCATCTAGTAAACAACTCAGTAGACACGGAGAATTCATTTGATAATAGTTGATGACAATCAGCCATGGTTAAGTGTGTCCCGCCCTATTCACTAGAGTCTGTTCTGAGGTCTCCAGCATTGGTTAGATTTATCTGTCAGTTTGGCGGGGAGCATTGCCCAGCCACCTTGGAAAACACCAGTGAAGACACTGCATGAAGGAGCCACTCACACCTATAACCCAGTGTCTTTGTGTGAAGTGGGTGAGTTCATCTAAGCATTCAAGGTTGCGGCTGGACCACATCGCTCATCTCAGAGTGGGCCTCGGCCATTCCTTGAACCCCCTGACAACTCACTCCTCTCCCTGCACACAGGCACACCTCCAGAGGTTGTGCTAACTGCACAGATAGCTTCAAGAGAAAAGCTGAACTACATGGTTGTTCTTCACCATGGCTCTTGGCTTGGTTTCCTACTGATGAGGAGCACCTGGCTAGGAAGGCTTGAGCTGGCTCCCCTTGCTGCTCTGAGGTCTTTTTTCTTGACTCCGAAAAGACATTATGGCTGGAGAGGTGACTCAGTGGTTAAGAACACTTGCTGTTCTTGCAGTAGGTCCAGGTTCAGTTCCCAGCACCCACGTGGCAGCTCCCAACCACCTGTAACCCCAGTCCCAAGTGATCTGATGTCTCCTCTGACCTCCACAGGCTCCTGCATGCATGTGGCACACATACAAACACCTAGGCACATACATGCACACCTAGGCACATACATGCACATAAAATAAATACATATATTTTTGAAGATAAAAAGAAATGAGATTAACAGTGGCCTACTCCCCCCTGTGGGAGGATGGAGCATGGTTAATTGGTCAAGTGGCCTCTCTCTCTCTCTCTCTCTCTCTCTCTCTCTCTCTCTCTCCCCTCTCTCTCTCTCTCTCTGCCTCTCCCCTTCCCACTCTCTTCCCTGTGTGTGTGTGTGTCTCTCTCTGTCTGTCTGTATCTCTGTGTGTGTGTGTGTGTGTCTGTTTGTTCACACTCTAGGGACAGCTGTTGCTAAGATTTAGAGCTTCCAAAAATCCAGGCTGCTATGGAAGACTTTTCACTTCACATAAATCACAATTAGTGGGAATCGAGAGAAGTGAGGAAAATTTATCTGGTTTAGGAAAAAAGCATTTGCAATAAGTAAGCCACCAGACTATCTGATGTAGAAGGAGGAGGGGGGAGAAGGGGCAAGAAGAGAGGTATTAAAGGAAGAAAGGATAGGAGAGACAGGCGAAAGGAAGAGGGAAGAAAGAGCAAAGGAAGAGAGGGAGAAAGAATGCAGATGGATGGTGGGGAGAGGAAGACCAAGAGAAAGAAGGAAGAATTCAGAGGGGCAAAGGGGGAGGGAAATGAGGAAGGAGGAGGAGGAAGGAAGAAGAAAAGGAAAGGAAAGAGGGAATGGAAGGCAGAGATGGGGCAGTAATAAGGGAGATAATTAGAGAGGGAGAAAAAGGGAAAAGGGAGGGAGGGAATAGGAAGGAGAAAAGAAGGGAGGGGAGGAGGAAGGAGAGAAGAAAGGGAGGGGACAGGAGGGAGAGAGTAAGAGGCAGGGAGAGGGAGGGAGGGAGGAGGGAGCAGAAACTGTTCTTCTCATGTCTACCTAGATACTAATTTAATCCTGGCAGTAGAGCTGGCCATGTGACAGCCCTGGGGTGATTTTCCTATCTCCTCAGCAACCAGGTGTGAGCTCCTGTATGTGTGTTCACACACGAACACACACACATACACACACACACACACACACACACACACACACACACACACACGGGCCTGCCCCACTTCCCCCAGGTCCCCTTACCAGATCAGCTGATGTGGGAGTAGGTCCTGCTTATGTCTCTAAACCAGACCCTGGGCAGAGCTGGCCTGAAGAGAGGGACCCTGGAGTAAGTCCAGATTCCCAGGAAGCAGGGACTCTTCAGGGATCAGAGGCTGGTGCTTCATGCCAGGCCTTCTGCTGCATCATAGAGGAGCTGGTTCATTCTGGAGCCCAGAGCCCTGGAGCTCTGAGAGCAGAAGAGTCGGGTTCTGCAAAAGGCTGTCTGTCTCAGTGTGCTGTATCCAAACAGCAGCTCAGTGGGAATGTGATGTGTGTGTATGACAGAGCAACCAAGATGATTCCATGCAGCCAAGACAGAAAGATGAAGCTGGGGCTCCAACTTACTACTGTGAGCCCCAAACTCCAGTGCATCTTGCTTGACTCTGCTGTTTCTCAGAGTGCATCTCGTCCCTTATCATTCTGCTGTTCTATCCCAGCACTCAAGTTGTACAGAAGATGGCTTTCAGCACTGTCCTCAGTGGACAGCTCCAGCCTCCCCTCAGTGCCGGACAGCCCAGGTGACTGCTGCCATTAGGAGCCAGTACCTGCTAGTTGGCGGTGTTCGCAGCAGAGGGAGAGTCCCCTTTTTTTTTTTTTTTGGTTTTTCGAGACAGGGTTTCTCTGTGTAGCTTTGCGCCTTTCCTGGAACTCGCTTTGGAGACCAGGCTGGCCTCGAACTCACAGAGATCCGCCTGCCTCTGCCTCCCGAGTGCTGGGATTAAAGGCGTGCGCCTCCACCGCCCGGCAGGGAGAGTCCCCTTTAAGCAGGAATGATAAACAACCCTGGCCTAGAGCCTCCTCGGAAAGTGATGGACCAGGGAAGATATGGCCCTCCAGATCAGCACCAACCACTCACAAATATGTCAGGCCTGCTGATGGCCAGGACAGCATGGGAAACCCCAGGAAAGAAAAAAGAGTGGGGTTGGATAAAGTGCATCGCCCCAGGGTTTGCGTGATGCCAACAGCTTTGATTTACTGGGAAAGATCAGAAGAATAAAGCAGCGTTCCCAGGCAGCTTTTCACAGGAAAACAGACTATTTCCGAATAGCAATTGTTCTACTCACCTAGTACATTTAAAAATACTTTTTGCACTGGGATGCTGAACAATGGAACCCAGAGCAGGTGGGCCTGGGAGGAATGGAGGAGCAGCCTCTCCCTGCCCAGTGACCTTTTCTGCTCACAGCAGCCCAGCAAGGTCCCAAAGCCACTTAAACTGATGTCTTACCTTTCATAAGGGTTTCACAGAAATCCTCCATAATGTCCCCGGTCCCCGACTCTGGCTAGACAGAGAAGCTTGCTCCTGAATGAAACCCTTGACAGGCTTGTTCTCTGGGGCAACCTCTGCTCCTGTATTCACAGGATCAGAAGTAAAACAGGGTTTTGTCTCTATCAGAATGACAACAGGGATTCGGGGGCCACACCCTCACTTTGTGTTCAGAGGTACAGGCACCCTGTCAGAAATGTGCCGAGAAGTGATCCCCAAGCACATATGCTCTCTATGTGCTCCATTACCCATCACCACATGGGGCAACTCAGGATATCAGTCCACTTCAAGGAATGTAGTGTTTCTCCTAGGTTGTTCCCTGGGTGGGGAGTGTGCCAGCCTTAGCCAAACAAGTAGCCAAAGAGAACAGGAAGAAGGAAACTTCTCTCTTGCATCTTGAGAGAAGTTATTTGAGCCTCAGGTACAAATGACATCTGTGAGATAGCCTCACCTACAAACATCTTCGGTGAACACACACACAGGCACACAGTGTTAGTGAGCTTCCTGTGGATGTGACAAGTACCTGCACTCGTCAACTTTTAAAGAATGTATTTCTGTCTTTTTTAGGGTGTCAGTCCATGATGACTGTTCCCATCACCTCAGGCCTGTAGCAAGGCAGTCCATCACATCAAGTTCATATTCTGGGGCAAAATGGCTCACCTGACTGCTGGAAGGCCACAGAGAGTAAAAGGAAGAGCCTGGGGTCCCCCAGTGACCTAAAGACCTCTCATTAGGTCCCATCTCTTAAAGGTTCCACCATTTCCCTACAGCATGAGTGGGGACCAAACCCTCAACACATCCTAAGCACAGTACAGGGGGAGGAAGGTGAAGATGGCGCCCATCTAAGGATGAACAAACGGATCTGCAGCCTCTGCGCACCACGAGAGAAACCCTGCACCTTTCCCTCAGACCTATTGTTGTATGACTAATGGCTCCAAATTGAAATGCTCCCTCCCGGAAGGAGGCAGGAGCCTTTTTGAGACTCACAGAGGAAATGACACATTCAAGGCTTGGGAATCTCAGAGAACTGCAAAATTCACAAGCCCCCTTCCCAAAGCTTTATAAGCAGTTGCAGGGGAGGAGACTCTTCCAGGGAGCTGCTTATAAGTTGCACAGGAAGGTCCTTGGCCATGCTGGGAAGGGCTTTTCTGTGATGCAGGCAACTTTGAGTAGCCTCTGCTCCATCAGTAACCCCAGTAAACCCACTGATTCACTGAACTGAACTTCCAAGGAGTCATTTCTTTGGTCTGTTCTCAATGCCCTGTCTGGAGTGAAGACACATTTGGCCCTATCTCCCTAGGAAGAGTCACACAACACCTGTATGCTATGAGGGGGTCAGTTCCTCTCCTTGCCCATTTTGCCTTCTCTAGTGAGAGAGCAGAAATTTCAGGGCAAAAATGAGCCATCAGATGTGGGACTACCAAGTAGCCCCTTAAATATAGTGGATGTGCCTGAAGCCTTGATAGCTTCCCCTGCCCTCTGCCCACTAAGGTCACATCAGCTGTAGATGGTACCATACATGACCTCAATGTCCTGGGTTCCTTTGACACAAGGCTGACTTGCTTCCTTGTACCAAGATCCATTCCAAATGTCTGCCTGACCACAGGCAGCTGCATCCCAGTCCTGGCCATGCTTCCTGTGCCTCACTAGCTGATTTGACCTGAACTGTCTAGCCAGCTAATCGTGCTTCTGCTCCCCAGTTTTCCAGTTCCTAAGTGTAAGAGTCAGCTGTGACTCACTCCTGCAGCAAAGGGAAGGCAAATGACTCAGATTCACCCCAAATTAAACTGTGGCAGAATTCAGAGGCCATCCCCACTCCAGCAGGGAAAAGAACTCAGCCAGCTCTCTGTAGGACTCCTTCCTGGACCTCTGGGAAATGGAGAAGGAGAAAGGGGCTCCCCGCCTCCTTGCTGATAGCCCGGTGGGATGGGAGATCTATTGAGCAAGCAAGGTCTGTGGCAGGCTCTCATATGGAAAGGGGGGCAGGATCTCATTTAGAGCAAATTGTGGAGCAATGCAGGCCGCTGGGAAGTGGGAGTTTCCCTCCAAGCCTGTTCCTGTATTAATGGCTCTCCACTATCCTGGCTCAGCAATACCAGGCCAACGGATTGCTCATTTTGTCCCCAGTGGCAGGCATTAAGCAGGGCGATTTAGGATGAGAACACTCATATTTGGAAGTCTTTTCTTGGAGGACAAATGGAAAATTACCTTTTCTTTGGCTCTGTGAGCGCAAGCAGCAGGTGTGAACACTTTTCTATCAACACTCAGGGCCCAGCCTCCTGGCTTGCCTGTGATGTATGCTTACTACAGCAGGGAGGGCCGAAAGAGGCAAGAGGAGCCCAGGAGGGAGGTCCCCCAAGCCTATCTTCACTCACTCCCTGTTGGGTAGCAATTTCTAAACTGAAACATTCCATCCGGGAAGGATACTTAAAGCTCCGGAAGTGAATGAAACCACAGATCCAGAAAGACCCTGAAGCTTACAAGACAAACAAGGATGCTGACCAGGGCTTATGAGCAATGACAATTGTTGGGGAGAGGAGAGTTATCCATGAGGTTTCAGGGGTTAAAACTTTCCAGAGCAGTCACCCAGGCTGGGCTGGGCTTCTCAGATATGCAGCTGCCTTCAAATCGCCCACACTCCCCTACGTCCTCACACATGCTCTTGTCCCTCCTGTAAGGAACTCCAATACACTGGCCTTTCATAACTCTGCTAGACTTGAGTAGAGTCATTTCTCTGGTCTGTCTTCAGTGCTCTGTCTTGGATCAATAGGCATCCATTTGTGTCTCCCCAGGAGAAGCTACTCAACACTCAAAGCTCTCCCTGTTTTACTCAGGTGAGTGTGGGTTTAGTGACTCTGTGTCCTCTTTGCTAGCAAGGTGGAAGACTGGACTGGCATCATGTGATTCTGCCCTCATCTGACTATGTGTAACATATGGTGCCTCTGAACAACGAGTGGAAAACCCGCCCACGAACCTCTCAGCCTTGGAGATGCAAATGCAAAGGACAACTTGGGACTCCTGCATCAGCTGTGATGCTCCACGCCCCTGCCCCTGTCCTTTAGACAATGTCCTTATGCCAGCTTTCTGGCCACTCCTGATTGGTTAGCCTGGAAACCCCCTTTATTCTCTTGTTATCTAGCTGTGGTTGGATATGGCCAGCTGTGCTTCATCCCCCATCAGATGGGAAGGAATCTTGGGGACACAGCTAGGGGTTCTGTGAGGTGTGGGCATCTGCGTATCTGTCACTAACTCATCCTGAGCCCACGGTCACTCACAGCTACTGAGGAAGACCAAACTTTGCTTCAAAATGCTCATTTTTATTAGTTTTAATTACATATAGATGTGTGTGTGTGTGTGTGTGTGTGTGTGTGTGTGTGTGTGTGTGTCTATGCGTATATAAGTGCAGTTGCCCAAAGAGGCAGAGGTATCAGATACCTTGGAGCTGCAGCTACAGATAGTTGTGAGCTGCCCCATGGGTGCTAGAATCCATACTTAGGTTCTCTAAGTGAGAAGTAAGTGCTTTTAACTACTGAGCCACTCCTCCATCCCTAAACCTTTAACTTTTGTGGTACTAGGAATTGATGCTAGCTAGAGCTTTGTACATGCCAGGCAAGTGTGCCACTTCTGAGCTACATCCTTGGTGCTATGATTTTTTTTTTTTTTTTAGTCTCAGTAATTGTCCAGACTGACCTTCACCTTCTCTGCTTCCTGCCTCAGCCTTTGGAGTAACGGGGATTACAGGCTGGCATGCACACTGTGTGACACTCCTGAACATGAACAGCTGTGTGCAGTAGCTCCACTCAGGTAGCCCTGAAGGCGGCAGTGGAGGGACATCATCCCGGGGACCAGAAGTCCCGGCTGTGTGTTTGGTTTCCACTGTGTCAGAGTGAGAGATGGCTGATGGCCAGCAGGGTGAACCTGCTCTCCGCTGTGGGCATTCACTAATGGCTTGGAAAGAACGAGGTGCACAGACTGCTGACCGCAAAGATGTTTGTGGAACCAAGTCCTGGGATGAAAAGATCCTGTGATGATGTTTGTATCTCGTGAGATGCCCACTGCAAGGGCAACCACCTGGAAGAGATTCCTGGCCGTCAAGTGGACAGGGTGACACTGGCTAGTCTCTACCTCCATCCCAGCCAACCCAGGGCTTGCTCAGTAGTTTAGGAATAAAGTAACCATGGTCTCAGCGTTGGAGGCTGACCAAGGGCTTCATGAGAGGCTGCCCTGAATGTACACAACTGTCTGGTCTGCCAACAGTTGAAACCATACAGAGGCTGAGCCCTGATGTA